GTGAAGAAGGGGCGGGAAGTGAATTCTGGCAAATGGTCACTGTGACGGCGCGGTTGAATTTAAACCTTGTTGCTCTCACGGTCAGTTTGTTCCAAAGAGAGCTTCATAACAGGTGGCAGCTTTTCTGAATCAAAACAGTCTTGTGAGCTGCCTGAGAGTCCCCCAACTCCAACTCCACCCTCCCCGTCTCTAAAGAGAAAATCGCGTCCATTGTTGGAGGCTAATTTTGGAACTGACCAGAATGAAAAATTTATGATTTTGAATTTAAAAAAAAAACATGTGAGATAAAGTCAAAGAAGAAGTAAAGGTCAGAGGTCAGAGCAGGATTGTGGGTGTCACACCCCCTGCGTCAAACTCCCACTCTGGCAGCCCACACGCTCTGATGGAAAGAGCGTCCCTGTTGGGCCGGGGGAGCTAAAGCAGAGCAGAAGGGCCCTCGGCCGACAGGCTGCGGTCGCTGAGAGGCACCAGCTCCACAGACTGTGACGCTCCTGGGCAGGCGTCTAAGCCAGCGTCTTTACTGGACGGCTCTGAGGAGGGGTCACCATGCTCTGCTCTACTTTGGAGACCCGGCCCCTCATGCTCAGCTTCATCAGCTGTGGCTGGCAGCACCCTGGCCTCCGCCCTGCCCGTCCGTCGGCTGTGCTGGTGCTGCCCAGGGGCTGTCCAGACAAGGAAGGTTAGGGCTGCCCTTCCTGGTCAGAGCACTGCGGGGCCGGCCTGCCCAGGTGTGCTGAGGAGGGTGGCCTCGGCCTGTGCTCCACACCTTCTGGCCAGTGGAGGTCCTGCCACAGACTCTCTTGCCCTGTCAGAGAAAAGCAAGACACGGAAACAGAGCGCCCTGGAGAGTGGCCTCTCCCGCCCGCCTGCTCTGTGACCTCATTTCCTAGCTCTTGTTTTCTTCTCTCGACATTAAAACAAATTCAGGAACAGACCCTGTCTCTGTCTCCCCAGACATTTCCAGCCAACTCGTTGGCTCATAATTGCAGGAGAAAGAACCACCAGGGGTGACCCAAATGTCTTCAGTTTCCCCCAAAGAACAGGTGGAAGATGAGGTTGAGGTGGGGGTAAGCAGTCTGAGGCCCCCAAAGCAAATTGAGGTGGGGGTAGGTGCTTGTCCCTGGCCATGAGCCATCTGCGGCCTCTCTATGCTGTTGAGACCACAAGTCTCCTTGCAGGTGACAGAGCCAGGCCCGGGAGGGCTGAGGTGGGTGTGAGGGAAGGGCCTGTCCCTTCTCAGGAGGTCTCCTGGGCAGGAACTTTTGCAGCCACAGAGCACCAGGAGAGGAATCCCGTCACCTGGGTGGAAACGTGGGGCAGGGCCTCTGAGGGCTTCCTGCAGTCCCTGAGGCCAGGATTCCGAGTTTACACGTCCTGACCACCACCAGCAGGAGATTCAGGTGGAGAACAAAGCCTGGTCCTCAGTTCAGAAGGCTCCCCTGCATCTGGAGGCCACATCTCCTCTGGGGACTTAGCTTCCAAACTTTCTGTTAAGATGTGACAGCCTCTTGTTGCTTGGCTCCTTTATCTTCTGAAAATTGGGGCTGAGATCATGGGCCTTGAACTTTGAAACTAGGCTCAGGCCTTGCTGACCCACGTGTCACAGGTTCCTTCCACCAGTGTCTGTGCTGTAGTGAAGGCAGGCGGTGTGTTGTCCGTGCATGCGTGGATGTGGATGTGTGCTCACATGTGTGTGTGCATGCATGTGTGTAGTGGGGTGTGTGTGTTGTCTGTGCACGTGTGGATGTGGATGTGTGCTCACATGTGTGTGTGCATGCATGTGTGTAGTGGGGTGTGTGTGTTGTCTGTGCACGTGTGGATGTGGATGTGTGCT